AGCCTGAGGACCTCAGTTCTGTTCCAGGAACTCTGAGAGTTGTCCCCTGACCTCCATACAGTGCTGTGACATGCAGAGGCACACACATACATCTCAGCATCCACACACACACATGCGCACACACACATGCACACACACACACACACTTTTTTATTTAAATGACTCTGATGTTAGATACAGTGGCTCATGCATGCTGTAATCCCAGCACCCAGAGTGCTGAGGCAGGAGAATTGCTATGAGTTCTGGGAAGCGTGGGCTACAGAGTGAGACACGTCTGTGCTGGCCTTAGCTTCAGGCAGGGTCTGTTGCAACGTGAGCAGCACACCTAGGTCTCCCATACAGAGTGATCCGACCTCTCTAATGGGTTCTGGTGAATAAGAAAGAGGCTGCGATTATTATGAGCACACTAACTGAATGACTTGTAGAGCCTTATTCCTGGAGGCAAGGCCCCTTCTTGTGCCTCATCCCTTCTGTGGGGCTTACAGGAAGAAAGTACCAGAGAGCATGGCCAGGTTCCCAGGACAGCGTGCAGCAGGGCCAGGCAACACCGGACATACGTCCACTGGACCTAACGCTAAGAGCGCTTTCCTAGCGACAGTCTGGGGAAGGGCAGAGCCAGGCTGTTTACTCTGAACCTGTTTGGGCTGTAGAGCAGAGGGCAGGGGAGAGCAGGGCGAATGTGGAGGTCCCCGGGAGTCTCTGGGAACCAGGCTTACTGCTCTGCCTTGGTTAAAGCTGTGGGCTTGATGGTGTGAGCAGGTGAGAATCCAGGTAAGGCTGTTTCTGTTTGGGGCACTCGGGACTGAACCCAGGATGTCATGTGCGTTAACCAAACGCTCTACCGCAGAGCTGTATCTGCAGCGCGCTTTTTACCATTTATTTATTTTTTTATGTTTTGGGTTTTTCCAGACAGGGTTTCTCTGTAGCTTTGAAGTCTGTCCTGGAACTAGCTCTTGTAGACCCAGCTGGCCTCACATTTACGGAGATCCACCTGCCTTTGCCTCTCGAGTGCGGGAATTAAAGGTGTGCGCCACCACCGCCCGGCTTTACTTTTTATTTTGATACGAGGTCAAAATTAACTGCTCAGTCTGACCTTGAACGGTCTTCTTTCCTTCCTCAGCCTCCCAAGGAGCTGAGATGATAGGCCCGTGAAACCAGGTAGAGTTTTAACAAACGCTGAAAACCCGTGAACTACTTTTGATTTAGAGAATGTCTTTGGACAGTGTTTGGGATTTTCTCCTCAAGATGAACTTTGGCCACTTATCGCCCAACAGCCGTTCTCCTGGGTATATAGCAAGAGAAACTTGTTCCCATATATGTGGGAGACACACATGGGAAGGCTGACATAGTACTGTGAATGATAGGAGCAACCCAGTGCCTACTTAATCAGTGAACCAGCCAATGGGACAGTATACAACAGTCAAAAAGGCCCAGCAAGACGCAACAGTGTGGACACATCCTAGCAATGTAATTTTAAAAGAAAAAGCCTAAAAGATTGCATATATATTTTAAAAACAATGAAAACTAAAATATTTACTTTTAAGAATAAATAGACGTATACAGCATTATTCTAACTATGGACTAGGAAAGCAGGGTTTGGTGCTGTGGTTTGAATATAAAACAGGCTTCTGTTTCAAACATTGATTCCCTATGGTATTGGCGCTGTTTGGGAGGGTTATGGAAGCTGTAGGGGTGGGGCCTACGTGGTAGAACTGGGCTAACTGGGGTTCACCTTTGAAGGCTCTGGCCTGGCCCTGGCCCCAGCTATGGCTGGCTCTCTCTGCCTCCTAGTTCACCATCGTATGGGCATCTCCACCACGAGTTCCAGCCTCCGTGAACCCTGCCGTGCCTTCCCTGTGACACACTAACATCCTTGACACCGTGAGCAAAACCAAAGCTTTGTCCCTGGAGCTGTTTCTGACGGTTTAGGTCACAGCGATGAAACAGAAACCAACACGGATGCTGTACACAGGACACGTTCCTCTGTACACGTTCCTCTGACCTTTTCCTAGCTCAGGACCCTATGACGAGGCTGCTGGGAGGGCCAGGCCACTAAGTGTGGGTTATGAGCCAGAGCCTAGGCTGGTGAGACGGCTCAGTGGGTAGAACCTAATGACCTGAGTTCTATCCCCAAAAACCAACCAGTGGAAAGAGAGAACCCGCTCCTGAAAGTTGTCCTGTGACCGTCACATGTGCTGTGGCAGGTCCCCACCTGCACTCATACACGCATGCACAATAATAATAAACAAGATTGTAAAGGCAGCAAGTGTGCATTTCCACAGTGCTAATAACATTATGTAAAGCAGGAGAAGAAATAGATGCATGGGGCTAGAGAGATGGCTCAGTGGTTAAGAGCATTGCCTGCTCTTCCAAAGGTCCTGAGTTCAATTCCCAGCAACCACAGGGTGGCTCACAACCATCTGTAATGAGGTCTGGTGCCCTCTTCTGGCCTTCAGGCATACACACAGACAGAACATTGTATACATAATAAATAAATAAATATTTTTAAAAAAAGAGAAATAGATGCATGAATTAAATGGGCCCTTAATAGGCCAGGAAGGAGAGTGGACTACCGGACAAAGATTAGGAAGCTTTGCCTTCAGGGCCGAGACTCAGCAAACAGTAAAGGCCATTCCTTCCCCGGGGCTTAGTGAGAGACGCGTAGGAGCCCAGTGAACACGGAACAGAGTGTGCGGGACACACAGGGGATGGAGGAGCACGATGGGCCTAAGACAGTGGTTCTCAACCTCTGGGTTGCGACCCTTTTGGGAGCTGAACCATCCTTTCATAGGGTCACATATCAGGCATCCTATATATCAGATATTTACATTATGATTCATAACAGCAGCAAAATTATAGTTACAAAGTAGCAATGGAAATAATTTTATGGGGGGGCCGGGTGTCACTGCAGCATGAGGAACCGTATTAAAGGGTCGCTGCACTAGGAAAGTTGAGAACCACTGGCCTAAAGAAGTTCCTAGGGCGTCATTGGGCTTGTTTTGTGGAACGAGGTACACACCTATGTGTCTTGATCTTGTCTGAGTCCAAACAACACTGCAAGATTGGTTTCCCAGTCTAAGCCAAGCCTGATTGATCACCTCCTCCCCTGCCTCCTGGCTGGCCTGCCTGGGCTCACCCTCAGAAGCTTACATCTCCAGCTGTGGGTGCTTCTGGGCGGGAGGAGAGGTTTAAGCAAAGCATCCCGATTGTTCCAAAGATTATCCTGGCTTGTGTGAGCCTGTTCACAGTACAGGGAAACGTAGCTGGGGTCTGGGGCCAAGGCTGGGCAGTAAGGCCGGCAGGCAGAGGGCTGGGAGCAGAGGCCCTTCCTTGGAAGCCTGTCTCTTCTCAGCTCTGGTACTGCCACACCTTGGGGACTCTGGCTTTTTCTGACTATCCCCCTGCACTGTTCCCTACCCTAGGGGTGGCCCCTTTGAGAAAGTAGCCTTCTCTTGGCGGGGCATCTCTCCTGCCCTTAGCTTCTCAGGAAATCGAAAAGGTTTTTCCATCCAAGGTCGAAAAGCACTTGCTAAAATAAGAGAATCATAAAAAATAAGGCATGAATACTTGGAGTATTTCACTTCCACTTCAAACCCCTAAAGCGGGAGCCAAGACCTGTCTGCGAAGATGGCCGTCCCTGGATGTCCGGGGGAATTTCTTTCATGAACTGCAGCTGTAGTTACTCAGGTTCCTGTGGGCTCACCCTGCCTTCCACTGTGCACTGTTCCAGAGCGAAATGGACTGAAGTCTTCATTCAAGAGCATTCGTTGTTTGTTTTTGTTTGGCGGGGTCTTGTGTAGCCCAGCTAGTCTGGAAGGGCATCCTCCTTCCTCAAGTTCCTGAACACGCTGAGATAAAAGGCCACTACCACCCCTCTGGGCCTGAGGGGCAGTTAGATTCTCATGGGAACACATCAGGGCCACCCAACACTCAGTGCCCCCTTTTGCCTGTTTGGGGAGCTATTTTCCTAGCTGATGTCTGTTTGCAGGAGGCAGGTGCCCCATCTTACAGGTGGGAACACTGAAGGCCCCCAATACTGGCTCTACCAGGTGACCCCTCCGAGCAGAATGGAGGTAGAGAGGACTCAGATCACGCTCAGCCATTTTCTTTTTTTCTTTTTTTTTTTTTTATTAATTTTATTGAGCTCTACATTTTTTCTCTGCTCCCCTTCCCTTCTTCTCCCCTCCCCTTCAACCCTCTCCCATGGTCCCCATGCTCCCAATTTACTCAGGAGATCTTGTCTTTTTCTACTTCCCATGTAGATTAGATCCATTTATGTGTCTCTTAGGGTCCTCATTGTTGTCTAGGTTCTCTAGGATTGTGATATCTAGGCTGGTTTTCTTTGCTTTATGTTTAAAAACCACTTATGAGTGAGTATATATGATATTTGTCTTTCTGGGTCTGGGTTACCTCGCTCAATATGATGTTTTCTAGCTCCATCCATTTGCCTGCAAATTTCAAGGTGTTGTTATTCAAAGGGGGCTGTACCAGCTTGCATTCCCACCAGCAATGCAGGGGTGTTCCCTTTACCCCACAACCTCTCCAGCATAAGTTGTCATCAGTGTTTTTGATCTTGGCCATTCTTACAGGTGTAAGATGGAATCTCAGAGTTGTTTTGATTTGCATTTCTCATTCAGCCATTTTCTAACCCTTGAGGGGTAGTGGTGTGTGTGTGTGTGTGTGTGTGTGTGTGTGTGTGTGTGTGTGCGGTGCAGTAGGTAGATGGGATAGCTCATTGGGTAGATGTGTTGGTGACATTAGGAACTTGAAGCTAAAGGCTGATTCTGACACCTCAGTGACTCATTTGCAAGCATGTCCTAGTCTCTGGGCCTCAGTGCTGCCATTAGCAAAAAAAAGGGGAACAAAGCTATGCAGGGTTTACATAACCAGTTTTCAGGGCTTCTGCTCGATTGAAATGTGCCTGCTAGAGCAGTGGCCGCGGTGAGCCGCTAGCACAAATTCAACACTGATGCCGTGGTTCTGTCGCCTCTCCCCCGCAGTTTCTCTTGGCTCTGTGGACACGTGCACAGAAGCATCCTCTCCAAGTTCACTGGCCAGGCTGTGGAGCTGTTTGATGAAGAGTTCCGACGCCTCTATGCCTCCTCCAAGCCTGTGATGGGCCTGAAGTCCCCGAGGCTAGTGGCCCCGCTCCAGCCCAGCAAGGGTCCGGGAGCCTCCAATGGTCGCCTCAGTGGAAGCAGCGGCTCTGCCAGTGACCGCACCTCTTCCAACCCCTTCAGCAGCCTGTCGGCCGGCAGCAATCCCCTCAACCAGAGTCTGTCCGTATCCTCAGGGCCGGCCAGCCCCCTGGCCCCCATCCCACCTGTGGCTCCAAGGCTTCAACCCTATCACAGTCCCCGGAGAGTCGTGGCCCCGCAGGCCTTCTTGGTCCCCATGAGGCCCCATGAAGGAGCACCTGTTCCCTACAGCACCTTCATGGCCTATAGACCCACGCGGTTGCAGCTGCAGCAGCTCGGCCTGGTACCCAGGGTTACTCACCCCTGGGGGCCTTTTCTACAGGCCTTGCCTCATTTTTGAAGGGTCCTTTCCCCTCATTGCCTTCCTCGGGGGTGAGAATTCGGCACTGCTGAATTTTCTGATGCAAAGGCTGTGCCTTAGCGACCAATAGGATTGAGCCTGATCCCCTATGAGCTAAAAGCACTGGCTGGGGGGTGGGGAGGAGGGGAATTATTGCCTACCTCTAAATATTCCCAAGCCTGAGACCATCCACTTGACAAACTGTATCAGTTCCTTGGTTTTCCTCAGTAGGCCTACCTAGGTAGCCAGCCCCATTCTAGAAGATTCCAGGGAGGCAGTCGAGAGCCCTCAATGACAAAATGTGACTGAGAACCCCTGTCTTCCAGAGGTCATCCTGGACTTTGAATATTGATGTCGACATAAAGCAAACATGGGTAGATGTTTGATCAAAGGGGGCTACTTCCCGAAGACCCAGAGAGGGAAGATGAACAAGCATGAGAACATTCTGTATGTTTCTGGTAGGAAATGCCTCTCCCTGTTAAATGTCTTAAAACTGGAGTTCCCCGGACCTGATGGATTAGTAATGAGACCCCAGAAAGTGTCTGTGATTGTGAGGGGCCCTCTGAAGCTGCACCAGCAGGGATGGGACGACCTGATTCCACAAGGCTTTTTAACAGACTCTGATTCTTGCGGAAGAGAACCCTGGCCCGGAAGGCCTGGAAACCTGGGCTGGCTGCAGGGATCTGAGTTGTCATGGCTACGCATGGCCTTCAGCAAGGCCCAGGGCAGCCTTGGATAACTTCTCAAAGGTTCAGCTGGCCCAGGGCAAGCGCCTGCCTCCAGCTCTGGGGATCTCTGCTCGTCCTGTTGATACCCTGAGAAATAAATGTGAATCCTCACGATGTCACCATTAGTTTCTTCCTAAAGAATGTGACCGAGACGCCTCTATTGAGATAACTGGGGGGAGGGAGGAGATGCGTTTACAAGATAAGCCCCAGGCTAGTCCAGCCAAAAGAAGGCAGGTACCTGGGCCCTGGACCATACCACACACACCAACTCCTGCTAGCCATAACCCATCACAACGAAACTCTGGGCTTTACTGGTGAGGGCTCAGCAGCCCTAGGCATGGAGCCCCTCTCTCCTCCTGTCCCGTTCCTGACAGCTATAGCACACCCATTTCTAACCCATCCATCCCTCTGCCCTTACTTACCCAACACTCCTGCCAAAGGACGGCCACTCTGGTTTCTGTTTGTTTCTTTTAAATTCTGTTCCCTTCCTTTACTTTGTTTTCTCTTAGTTCTAACAATTAAAAAAAAAAAAAAACCTCGTATTTGAATTCTGATTTTTTTTTTTTTCAAGACAGGGTTTCTCTGTGTAACAGTCCTTGCTGTCCTGGAACTCACTTTGTAGATCAAGCTGACCTCAAACTCACAGAGATCTTCCTGCCTCTGTCTACCAAGTGCTGGGATTAAAGGCATGTGCCACCACCGCCTGGCAGATTCTGATTTTTTTTTTTTTTAGTAATGAATGGTGTGTGTGTGTGCGCGCTCACTGCAGTGCATGTGTGGCCAGAGTACGTGTGTGGTGGTCAGGTCTCTTTTTCCACCGTGTGGGGCCCAGGGATCAAAGACAGGCCTTCAGGCTTGGTGGCAAGTTCCCTTACTCTCTGAACCATCTCGCCAGGCAGCCCCTAGGCGGCTGTTACTCTGCTAACACGCGGGTGAATGTGGAATTACCAGGCCTGGGCTGAGTACTAAATCGAATTTCACAGTTGGCTAAGAAAGTTAAAAACAGAGAAAGCTCACGGGGTAACAAAAACTCCTGGAGTCTTCGTTCTAAGGCCTGCCAATGTATGCTGGAAAGAATTCAGAGCTGGAGAAGGAAGAACCACCCAGCTCCTGGCCACTCCTAGCCAGAAGTTTGCCTGTGCTCTGCCACTATGTCAGGCTACTCAAAACACACTTCTATTCTGTTGAGCCCTCCTTGTTTGGTGACAACCTGCTGACTGGGAGGTAGGGCCAGCCTCGCTCTGATGCTCTGATTAGCGGCATGTAAGGCTCACCTCCAGTCAGAGGCTGTGGTCTCAACCAGAAGGACTTGGCAGGTTGAAGCCCTCCTCTGCCAGTTACACTTCTGCAGCAACCACAGAACCCCTCATTCCCACCCCTGCCTTGCAATGGAGAGATAACATCAAGGAACAAGCCCGTGTCGTTTAAGCGACTGGGAGGTGCGAAGTTTCTTTTACATCACGGCCCAGTTTAACCTGACTGATAAGACCTCTGAGATCCCTGGCTTGATATAGAGACAGCCACTGGGGGCGTCTTGAGCTCCCTTCTAGAGACCTGACTCCCAGCACTGACCAACCAAAGTTTTCAGCGCCTGGCAACGGATGGTGGAAAATCAGATCCAGAATACTACATCTAAATTTCAAGCCTTGCCTAAAGTGGGATACCAGCGCTGCGGCTCTTGGCCACAAGGAGCAGGGGGGGGAGGAGCTGAATCCCCAGCTGAATTCTATTCAGAGAGTTTGAGGGCTGAGTCGGCAGTGGGCACAGCTGGGGAAGCAACAACACTAGCGTGCCACCTTCTCATGACCACTCTTGTGCTCTTCCTTCCTCCGAATGTCTGCACACAGGTGCCTCTCGGAACCCTGAGTGGAGCCAGTGTTTGCTGGTACAAATCCTCTAGAAACTGAGGTAACTCAACATGCAGGTCACTGACAGTGTGCCCATGCTAAGGTATTACTAATATGCACGTGCAGCTTCCATACTATAATGTGAAATACCAATATGGTTGTATAGCATGGAATAGAAAGGCACACATACCCATCTGTGCCCTACCGCTTTCATGCTATATTTAGTTCCACTTGGGGTTACAATCCCCTCTGGGCCTCCCTCCCTAGGGCCTGCTTGCTGGAACACTCCTTAACTGAAGAGTAAAGTTTAACAATGGTACCTGGACATCCTCCGTGGGCACAGGTCTCTGCCCGGAGGGCCCAGGACTAGTAGGAAGGAGCTACCCATGAAGACCACCAGAAATCCCAGAAGAAAATGAAAGGAACAGCAGGATTTTTGAGTTGTAGCGGGTCCCACGGAAGGCAGAGCGTCCCCCATGAGAAGGCCCTCACTGACAGGGCACATTGGCTGCTAATGACCACATGCTTCTAGAATCTCTCTCCTTGACAGTGTCTGTTGCAATCATTGGTCATCACACGATGCTGACCTTGTATTGCTCCATCTCTACTGTAAGAGCCCAGAGAGCAAGAGTGTCTCTGCAGGTCCCAACAGGCCAGCAGCAATGCCCTGTCTAGTCCACAGGTATATCAAGCTTCCTCAGTCGAGTGCTGGTGGGAAGGTTTCCTCCAGCGGGGCCATGGCAGCCCCAAGGCTGCCTCAACGGGGCAGGAAGAAGGAGCTCCCACCGTGGTGTGACTTCACAGCTTGCCCTGCTGGCCTGTCGCCGAAGTGCCAAAGCAGCTTCTTCAAACGCTTCTTTTGCTGGACTGGATCCAAGAAGCTGTCGGACACAGAGGAACTGTCAGTCCGTTTCTCAGCTTCCTCCTCGAGAGTGTCTGTGTGTCGGAAAAACTGTTATTTGGAACGTAAACACTGCAGACACATGCAGACGCGCGGAGATGCAAGCCCTCTTCGCCGTCTTGGTTCAATGTGTCCTAAGGTAGACTGTGCTTCTCACAGCCCCTGGCTGTCCTCCCTCTGCAGAGCTGGGGAAGATGGCTGGGCAATGCTGAGTAGTGTACCAGACAGAAGTCCTGCGTGGACGGCTATAGCACAGTAATTCCATGTGTGCACGGGGCTGAGGGAGGCCCCTTCACCTCTTCCCCCAAGATGGGAGAGAGATTCTCTGCCTAGTGGCCTTGGCTTGAGGACAGATTTCTAGATGTTCCCACTGAAATAGGTCCCTGTGAAGATTCCCAGGCTCCCTGCAATCCAGTCTCCTGGCTGCTGCTCTGAGCAGCGCCATCCAGACCTCTCTGCTGAACGTAGAGAAAGAAGCAAAGCAAACCTTGAAAGCAAGGGAAGTGCTACACGCCAAGTCAAAAGGACACGTGAGGAGCCCATGGGGATGACGACAATGTCCTCTCACGGGACTAGACACCTAGAGCCACTATGACACAAATACTGCTGACCGGGCTACCTCAACAGCAAGCGATTTCTTTTCTTCCAGTTCTGAAGTCTGAGATCAAGTGCCACCCGAATGGGACCCCCAGTGGCCTCGCTCCTTTGCGGAAGGCTCCAGTCCTTCTGCAAACGCCTGCGGCCGTGAAGCTTGGTCCTCAACTGGAAAGACACCAAAGGAGACTGATAAAGGCCTCTGGGGATGTCTGTGAGGGCTTCATGGGTGGTTCTGTGAAGGCTGTGATCAACCAGTGATCGAATCCACCGGAGAATCTGAAATTTGAGAAGAGTACTGAGAGGTGATAGAAGTCAGTCTTGTTGGACAAAGGAGGCACACTGGGAACGTGGGGAGTATAAGGATGGTACCCCCAATAGTCCCAGGAACTTGAATACTTGGTCCCCACTTGGGAGGCTTAGGAAGTGTGGCCTTGTTGGAGGAAGTATGTCACCAGGAGTGGGCTTTGCGAGCTCAAAGGCCTTGCACCATTCCCAGCTTGCTTGCAGTCTAAGATGTGAGCCCTCGGCTCTGTTTCAGGTACCACAGCTGCCCTCCTTTCCTTCCACTGTCATGGCTCCTCTCCCTCTGGAACCATAAACCCAAGCGAACTCTTTGTCCTCTAAGTTGCCTCGGCCATGGTGTTTTCTCACAGGCTTAGAAAAGGAACTAATGTGGGGGACTTGTCTTTAAAAGAATACCTTGCCTGGGTCTCAGCCTCTCTCTCTCTCTCTGTCTCTCTGTCTCTCTCTCTCTCTCTCTTTCTCCCATAAGGTGAGCAGTTCTGCTCCGTCTCCACCATGGTTCTGCCTCACAGAAACAACAGAACCAGCTTACTACAGGCTATAACCTCTGAAACCCAAAATACGTTCTTGCTCCCTTAAGGCTTTTTTTTTTAAAGGCTTTTTGTCATTCATAGCTACGAGAGAGAGAGAGAGAGAGAGAGAGAGAGAGAGAGAGAGAGAGAACCCACAAGATTACTTCAGCATGCCTGTCCCTAAATGCCCTTCTAAGTATACTAGTCAAACTGGAAAGAGTGGGAGGAATGTGAGGAGTTGGGTGCCAAGATGATAAGGGGTGGGCTTTAAGAAATGTGTTTTATGTGTTGACATGAGTAGGTCATGGGATACACAGATGTTTGGTAAGACATTATTCTGGATGTTTCTGGTTGGGATTAACTCCTAGACTTAGAAAAGTAGATTCCGCCGCCCCCCCCCCTCGGTGTGGGTAGGCCTCATCTTGTCCGCTGAAGCCAAAAGCAATAAAAAGATCACCCTTGAGCAGCCAAGAGAGAACTCTGGTGGCCTTCAACCTAAAGCGCTACTTTTTCTTTTTAACCTGACCTAAAACCGTTCCTTGGCCTAGAGCCTGTGGCGTACATCCAGAAGCTACACTGTTAGCTCTCACTAGCAGAAGGATCCTGAAGGTCTTGGCACTCGCCAGTCTCCTTGATCACATGACTTGGGACAACCCTAAACTAGCCCTGCCCCTGTCCAAAACCTCCCATAGCCACTGCCTCAGAATCAGGTCAGACTTAGCCCGGTGTTGACAATTTGCAGAGTGGAGCTGGCTTAACTGTCCCGACGACACCTCAGCACCCACCTTTCCTTTCTGCCAATCCGGCTGGCTAGCCCTCATTTTCCCCTGGCCTCTCCTCTTCCCACATCTCAACCAAGGGTTCCGATGCAGCTGTCTCTCATTGCCTGATGAGCCTGCTGCATCCTTTCCCTTTTTCCAAAACCCGTCTCAGGCCTCCTCCTCCCAGAACCTTCGACGAAAGCTGCAGCCTCCTCTGTTTCCGCCATAGTCAGACCCTTAGCCCTCTCCTCCAGTCTCCCTGATGGGATGGATACTCATGAGGCTACCTGCGACCCCCTTAAAAGCAGGTGTTGCCTCTTCTCTTTGATGCCTCCTGCAATGCTTAGTCAAGAGTCCATCACTGAATGAATGAGTGAAGGACTGTTACTTAGAAAAACAATAGCCGTCTGGGATGAAAAGCATCTTTCTAAAACCCAGAGGAAAAGATCCAAGTGGGCCTCCGTAGGATTCCTGAGTTGGAAATAAAAGAAGCCAGCACAGGTGGTCTTAACCTTGGGAGGGATTATGTCATGTATTCGCTTCTCCTTGCTGCTATAACAAACGACACAGTGGTAGTAACCTAATGTGAATGGATTACCTCCCCATTCT